TAGCAACAGGCAACAGGTACGGGAATGGAAGTGTGAAAGTGTAGGGACGGGACTAGGAAGACGTGGGAATGAAAGGGGAGTTGTTACAGGTTGATTATGTAAAGGTTGTATGACGGGATATGATAAGGCGCCGGCGGTAGATAAACAACTAGTTTACTTAGCAACACTTAGCAACAGGAGGAGGTTAATAAGTAACTTCCAGGGCTACTTATTGACCTTCCGGTCCACTTATGAGCTTCGTTTAAACTATAGAAGTGGGCCAAACTGTGCTGAACCAGGCTAAGCTGGCCCTGCTGTACAGTACCAACCATGCTGGCCTGGTTTGGCCCAACTCACTTCAGCTCAGTTTGGTTACTGTCTACACTATCAAATGAAACTGTGCTGGCCCACTTTAAACAGGGCTGGCTCCGTTTAAAAAGCTAGTTTAAACGCAGTATTACTTATCAAACCTCCTAGTGGTAAATAAGTTATTTATAAACCTAAAATCAAGCAGTCTGATTGGTCAATGGCAACTAGGCATGGTAGAAGTCTTGTTATCGTTTTTGTTTTTTTTTATTTTTAGGGAGCAACTGAAGAGAATGAGGAGGAAGATACTGGTAAGATAATATCACCGTTGAACTTATATATATATCCCTCTCTCTCTCCCTCCCTCTCTCTATCTATCCCTCTCTCTCTCTCTCTCTCTCTCTCTCTCTCTCTCTCTCTCTCTCTCTCTCTCTCTCTCTCTCTCTCTCTCTCTCTCTCTCTCTCTCTCTCTCTCTCTCCCTCCCTCTCTCTCTCCCTCTCCCTCCCTCTCTCCCCCTCCAGATTTAGATTACAGTGATTTAAGAGCTGAAGCAGCAGTTCATGCCCAGTTGAGAGCCGAAGCGTTTCAAAAAGCAGCTAAAGCAAGAGGAGAGAAACAAGGAGAACTAGCCATGCACTACGCACAAGTGGTACGTCACACGACAATCACATGATAATCACATGAACAACCTTATGTTATGTATAGGGTCATAAGCACACTGAGAAGATGAATGATGCTAATAGAAGAGCAGCCATGATGACTTATCGGATAAAGTACACTCAACTACATGTACATGTACATGTACATTTTATCCTAACCCTCATCCATTAAAAGGAGCATATCCTACATGTACAATTGTACACGTACAATTGTACATGTACAATATGAATGTACATTCATTTTACAGTATTTGTACATATATGTTATTTCACTTATTTTTTTACTATAAAAATACTTATAATCCTACTTGTATCTGTGTGTGTGTATTGTCTAGGAATAAAGGTAGAGATAAGAACAGTCTTGATCTACATTGTCTTCACGTTCATGAAGCTTTACAAGTACTGGAGGAGCGACTGATGGAGCCACACAAAAAAGGTAATAATAATAATAATAATAATAGTAATAATAATAATAATAATAATAATAATAATAAATATAATTGTTATTAATTAATGTAGGCGAACAGTTGTTCGTTATCACTGGGCGTGGCGTCCACAGCAAAGGGCCTCCGAAAGTCAAACCAGCTGTTTGGAATAGACTGAAGAAAGGAGAAACAAAATGGAAGTAAGAAAACAAAATATTAAGTTTTACCAAACGATTGTTTTATTATTGTATCGTTAGGTTTTTTGATAGAGGAGGGATGATAGAGATTATCTTTTTAATGGATAACAAATGAAAGAAGTTAATAATTTGAAAAAAGTTTTAACACATTAAACATATTTCATGTCTTTTTTTCTTGTGTCTTTTTTCCTCTGCCATAATTATCTCAATATCATTTTATCACTTTGTTGTCCTTCCCTCCCCTTCCTTATTTCTTAATAACTACATAATACCAGTTCACCTCTCTATATTGTCTTTATGGTCATAATTCATTTTGTTCAGTTGTGTATGCACCCACTAAAAGTTAAAAAATAAACAGCATTCGCCCACGCTTATTATTAACACCACACCTTCGCGTTTTGTGTGTGCACAAGTCGAAGAAGGAGGGAAGTCGGTCTGTTTCCGAGCTATTAAGAAATCCCTGCTGCTACAGAAGAGGTTAGTGCAGCTCTAATACAGAGTTCTTGTTTATAGCCTTTGAGTGCTTGTAGTGTAAATTTGCTAATACATTTTGGCAAAGATCAAAGTGATCTTAACGTACCCTTAGTCTGTAGACTGTGTAACTTAAAGTAGATTCTCTAATAATTATGGACTAAGCAGAACATTGGTATGATTTTATGATTATTGCTACACCATGTTGTCTAAAGCAAGTTCTTAACCAATAGTATAGTCTACAAGGATTTTGATGATGATATTAAACAGTTCAATTTAATTTATAATCATTATTATTTCCATCATTTCTGCCTTCTGCGACTAGCAAATAATAATATTATAATTCTCCAGTACAGTATGTGTAATAACTATACTACCGGTAAACTGCAAGTATTCTGTGTGAGTGTAGTTTACTATCACTGATTGTGGCTTCTTAAGGTTTGAGGTTGGTAGTAATGAACACTTTTGGTCAGTAGTAGTAATGATCATAGTAATCTCACTATGGGTACACTACTGCTCTTTTGTGGCTGCCCACCTCTTACCCTCTCCCTCTCTCTCTCCCTCTCTCTCTTCATCTCTTCTTATATGGTCATATACTTTAAACTTAAAAAATTATTTTTAAAATCTCAAAGGAAATTTACTACTTCACCAGTTGGTACACAAGTCTCCTCTTATAAATGTTTTTTCTTGCATTAATATTGTAATATTATTCTTTAATCCAAAGAGGAAATTTATATTTTGAGTGCACATGTGTTAATCAAGATCAATATAAGAGTTCAGTTTAAAGGATGTTGTTACTCCATGAACTTTGCTTGCATTATAACTGTGTATACATTATATCTCTTTGGAAAGTTGATGTTCATGATGATTGTTTTACACTTTTGTATGCATTAGGAGAAATCTGCTTCCTGTCATCTTGCAAAGTGCCATTATACTGCCTTAGTTTAAATTCCAGATATGAAATAAACATGGTTTTCTCTTGTAATTAATGATGATTGGTATATGTCGTTTAGGGGACAGCTCTGTGTTTTCAAACTAATGATGTGCATCAAACTAATGATGACAAATGAAAAGTTTACTATTATAATATATACATGCATATAGTGTTGTATTAATGTTCTTGACTAATGCACTATTAGTTGGTTTGTTGGTGTTGCTGTTAGTAATCACTTGGCTCACTAGCATGCAAACATCCAAACACAACATGGTTGGCTATTATCACACTTCTTATGATATCAAATAACTATAGCTTTGTACTAATATACTGAATAAATTGCAAGGTACATGTAGGATATATTATAATGTATCATCTACCTATCCCGTTACACTGTGTGGGCTGTGTATGTGGATAATACTAACAACTGACCATTTATTTTGTCATTTCATTTGTTTATTTTCTTTATATAGATCATGATTAATGCTTTTATTTGTCTCTTGTTTGTTCTGGTCTCCTGTACACAGGTCAGTATCATTTTATGCAGCAAACACAGTTACGTATTGTAGAGTGATTATGTGTGTACATGTACCTATAATTATCTCTCAGTAATTAAATATTTATATTATAATTTGATATACAATTCCCAGTGCCATAACAATTTTATTCTCCTAAATATTAAAAAAAATTATCTGTTTGTAGTTTGTACATTGTGACTATACTGCTGAAATAAGGATATTCTCGTACGGTAATCCAAGGAAGATACATAGGTCAATTGGAGCTGGTAATTCTCTTACTTATTGCTGCTGTGACTGTAGTGGCCAACCTACTTGTTGCAGTTCTAGTGCATCACAATCTTGTTCACGTGATTGCAATACTAGAGTGCTGATCTGTATTGCTGATAAGTATTGTGTTACAAGCACTTACATGGCAGAGGGAAATCAAACATTCACTGATACTGCATTTGGAAGTTTAGCTAATCCTATCTACATTAATGTACCAGGAACATTACCTTTGCAAGTGAGTGCTACTATTGCTTTTAAAGAAAATACAGAGTGGAGATATGAAAAAAAAAATAAGAGTGATATCTATAATTCATTTACATGTAGCTATAATCATAATAACCATTATAGTTTAAATGAAAGATATATGGTATGTTATTATTGAAAGTCTTGGAAAAGTATATAATGATTATTATTGTTTGCTTCTTCTATGTAGGTTAAACAGCTCTTCCAATTCTTTTTATATAGAAGTGCAGATAGCATGCCACTGATTAAGGAATTCACTGAAAATGCAGCTACATCTTTAAACAAAGCGCAAGAGTTTTTCAATGAAGAAAATTTTGTATCGCTTCATCATAACATATCATACAGATGCTCTAATGATTATTATGATTCAACCCTGCTCTGCTTTATTGTAAAGCATACAATGATAGCACTAATGGACATTATACCTGTAATTCTGCTGGACAGAAGACTTGTCTGGCTGGCTATACTAATACTAGCAACAACTGCCTTGAAAGTTAGTGCATGTACACCCATTTTGAATCATATTGTGATTTCTTATTCCTCTCTCTTTCCTTTCCTCTTAATTCTGCCTCTCCAATTTGCTTTTAATATCTCATTCTCTCTTCTTCTGTTTAAATTTCCTGTCTCAATTCTTTCTTCTCTTCTCTCTCTTTTTCTTTAAAGGTATAATAGTCTGCAGGGAAGGCTGTCATCCTACTAGGGGCTATTGTACAGTATCTAATGAATGCTTGTGTAATAATGGCTGGACAGGAACAAACTGCAACATATCCACAACCTGTTCATCTTGTACCAATGGAGTATGCTATGAACCTAATAAGTGTACTTGTAATCAAGGCTGGATCGGATCAGATTGCAGTACTCCAGTTTGTGATCCTCCATGTAATGGTCGCGGTGGACGCTGTTACAGTCCTAATAACTGCAGCTGTTATGAGAACTGGGGCGGGAGGCTGTGTGATATACCCCCAGGTACATGTACATGTATTTGTTACTGGTAGTTTTAATAATAGTAGAAGTCGTAGCTTGAAAAATTGAAGTCGAAATCAGTTCAAACTTTCTACACAGCATAAGAACATCAATATGTTTCAGAAAATGTAATAAAAATTGGGGGGGGGGGGGGTGATTTTTGGGCCATTTTTTGAAAAAAATCATGGGCTATATATAGTTCAGGGGTTTTTCCAAATTTTGGCCAATTTCATAAACAGGCAAAACTTTAAAAATTGAAGTCAAAATCAACTCCAACTT